TGACACGTGAACTCATTTTTTGGGTTGATTTTTCTTTGTTAAATGGCATTTAAGTATATAAAATAAATATCAAAAATATAAGTGTTTTACTACGGTTGCAAATATCAAAAAATTTCTATATGTGACACGGCACCAGAGTTAAGTTAGGGTTTTTTCAAAATGCTGACACGCCGAGCTCAGAAGGTTCACCATCACTGCCCTAGGTTGTACTTTACGTCCTCGGTGCTGTCACTTTAAGACTTCTCCTTCTATCGGTTATGAGCCCGTGGAAGACTTCCAGTCACCACTCACTCACAGAACCAAGGGCAGTGTGCATGTCTTGTACCCTCACCTTGTCAGGTTCTTATATTGGAAGTGGACTTACAAGGGAGACACTATGAGAGCAACATTTCAGTAGAACAGGAAGAAGGGGGCCTTACCAGAACACCAGCTCTTTTTCCTCGAGTAGGTGCCTCCGAGAAGGTCTCAGGTGGGGCTAAGGGAACACAAAGCAACGGTCAGTGCATTGGTGGCTGCTCACCAGGAGCTTCCTAGGGAGTTCTGCCTGATGTGGACAAGGGGCCATGGTGTAGGGAGGTGGCCGGGTACCAAGTATGGATGAGCCACTGCTGGGTCATCGTACTGGGTGGAAAAGATGGCAAGGAAGAAGAGAAGTAATGGTATGAGTTGAAAAAAAAATTTTTTTAATGTATTTTTATTGATTTCAGAGAGGAAGAGAGAGAGAGAGAAAAACATCAATGATAAGAGAGAATCATTGATTGGCTGCCTCCTGCATGCCCCCCACTGGGGATGGAGCATGCCACCAGGGCATGTGCCCTGACTGGGAATCGAACCCTGACCTCCTGGTTCACAGGTCGATGCCCAACCACTGAGCCATGCTGGCTGAGCTGAAAAGTCTTTTTATAGGTATTTTTCTTACACATGGGAAATGGAATATGTGGCAGTTATTAAAAGTGCATCCAGTTAATGACGGAATTCCCACAGTACCTTCTATGGATTTATCCAGAGGGTAGACCTGGATTGTTCGCCAGTAGAAATCCTGCTGGATAGACTGGATCTCGCGGACTTTTGGAGAGCCTCCTATTGGAAAAATCCATCAGGAGAGATGGTGAGAAAGGCACGCACGCCACACAGAGCTATGGACACCCTGCTGGTCCAAGACCGGAGAGAAATTCGGAATCATTGTCAGTTCAGTATTTAGTACCCGTTGCTTTAGAGGTTCCCAGAAGTGCCCTCTGAGTCAAAGTTGGACTTCAGAAATATCCCGGAGTTTTGTGTGCAATTAGAACGCCTATCAGAGCGAGTGTGGGACAAACACTTCATTTAGATGAGACCATCTAGAAGGCAGCAGAGCATAACAACATAGACTGGGTGCTGGTGTCTCGGGACCTGGGTTCAAATCCCACACAGAAGCCGCAAGAACCTGGGAAAGTCGTGTTGGCGTGTTGTGCTCCGTTTTCTTTACTGTCATTACAACTTTCAAACATTATATTTATATTGATTTCAGAGAGAAAGGGAGAGGGAGCTAGAGAGAGAAATATTGATGAGAGAGAATAATTGATTGGCTGCCTCCTGCACGCTCCCTACTGGGGATCGAGCCTGCAACACAGTCCTGATTGGTTATCAAACTGTGATGGCCTGGATCCTAGGTCAATTCTCAACAACTGAGCCACACCTGCTGGACTCATTACAATTTTAATAAAGCTGACTTCCAGTAGTTTGTTTTGAGGCTAAAATGATTAAATATAGGTAACTATTCGGCATAGAGAACTAGTACTTTGTAAGTGATCTATATGTGTTGAATTAGGTCATATCTGAAAAAAATAAGTTAGACACTTGGTGTTGGTTGAATTTGCACAGGCCCATGGCAGACTCTAGGACGGTGGGGGGGTGGACATTTCTCTTCATTTTTCACAGGGATGGGAAGTGTCACAGCTTGTGGAGAAGATCTGGAATCATCTCCTCTGATCCCACGGCAGTCCCGTGCGGTGGGAGAAGTAGGGTCTGTAGCCCTAACATTATTCTTGAGGTTTTTGTAGAGGTTGAGTGAGTGACTTTCTCAGATGTACAATACTAATTTGGGATTGATCCGCAAGGGGATTTTTTGTTATCTGGAGACAGAGACCCCTGAAAAACTGTACTGAGCAGTTTTCCATATTCTCTCACCTCAGGTTCTAGATGAAAGAGTGGGAAGCCCTGGAAAAGCCGCCTGAATAAACGCCTCTGCTCCCGTGGAAACCCCCTGAGTGAGTGACCTTGGGGAGGGCACACGTAGTCTTTTTTTCTCTCCTCTCCTGACACTACCTGCTGCCCCCTGCCGGTTATGAAGATGAGTGACCGCTCCTGGGGACCAGGGCTCTCCTTGTTTCCCAGGGCGACCAGAGCTCAGAACACTCAAAAGCAAAGGCCCTGTGATGGCTGTGCAAGAAGCAATTCCCCTCTAACGAGAGCATCTGCCCTCAGACAACTGACAGTAAGACGTTAATTGAAAAGAGCTGAGGGCGTTACCATGCGGGCTGTTACTTTGGGGGGTTCATGTCTCCCTCACTGCTGGTCTGAGCCATTCCCTGTTCTGCCTGAGTTAGCCGGCAGCACATGCCCAGCGGATGCACTTGGCCTGAATGTGTGCATCTTCTGCTCATCTCAGGCTCAACAAAGTTTAGTTTCTAGTCCATGGACTTCTCATTCTTCTCTGAACTCTGAGGGGTCAAGAATCAGAGTCCTCTCTCCTCTTGGAAGGACCCCTCAGCAGCCCAAACCCACGACCCCACCCCAGTTCTCTCCCAGAGAATCCAGAGCCCCCTCCACTCTGCTCTCAAGGGCCTGTGCCATTAGCCAGAGGGCAAGACTGATTCTCCACACTCTCCCAGGCAACGCTGGAGCAGCCAGCTGCGCTCTCCGCATACACACAGTGGGAACGCCACCAGGAAATCTTGCTTTCTCTCCCAACGCAGCTCAGATCCGGAGTGCTCATGGTCAATTTCAGATTCGACACCTACATGTTACTTTGCCCTGTAATGTCCATTGCTTGGGTGGTAGGTAGCAAGACTCTGAATTTTGAAAAATTCAGGTTCTGTTCACTCTATAGCTATCATCTGGGTTACTTTAAAATATCCTTAAGGGAGACCCTCTATTTCTTAAAGCTATAAATGTATATAAAAAGTAGATAATTTTCTATTTACATACAGTTTCATTTCCCTCCTCACCTGTGAACATTACCTACTTTACTCTATATGTATCTAACCTTCTATGTACTTGATATTCTAACTGTCCCCGTCATTTCATAAGCCTATCATTGCTTGTTTAAAATACTGCCTATTGGTTGGTGATTAAGTAAAAACAAACACCACATTTTCACAATAAGTGAATAAGTGGAATGATAAGATAAAGATATCTCTGTAAAAGAAGGATTTTTGACAACATGGAAGGTAGAAAGGAAATGTGTTCCATGTCACCGATGACACCTAGGCACACATTCTAACGACATGAATGGAAAACTATCACAGCAATGGGAGCAACATGCCCCAATTATCCTGAAAACAATAAACATTTCAAGATAAAACAGAGATAAGGTGGGCTAAACACAATGCTAATTTCCCTTTACTGTGTGAAATGCTTACCTACACATCTCTACAGTTCTGGAGTCACTTGGGACTTTTGTAATTCATGATTTTAATACATTTTTGAGAAAGTAAAAATGTCCACTTCATATTTTCCCCATGAGTATTTTTCTAAGAGCCTAGGGTGCCGAACATCGCAGGACACTAGATATGTACAACTCTACATGACAACTGTAACGAAAGGAATGAGCATGCCGAGAAGACGTGGAGAGAAGTGTCGCCTCGCCCGTTAGAAGGGACAGCAGTCCCTGGGCCCCATGGACATACCTCCGCAACACGAGGCGAGGGTCCCCATCCCAAGATTTGTGGCCACACAACTAGCACCTTCTCCTGCTGACC